GGCGGGAGCACCAGCCGTGGAGTGGAAGGGGATGGGCTGGGGGGCGGGGAGCTGGCAGGGGGCTGCTGGAGGCGATGCTGCTGGGGGTCGCTGGAGATGGAGCAGACGGACAGGGCGTCGTCATTGCCGAGGCTGAAGGCTATGGGGCCCACCTGGGGACACGCCTGGCCAAGAGACCTCACCGGCACCGTGGGGCTCGGTCCGGGGGAAGCCATGGAGCCCCTGGGGCGGAGGACGCCGCGTCCCCTGCCTCTGCCAGTGGCCCTGGAAGTGAAACGAAAAGCAAATGTGTCACGCTTTGTCAGAACAATCCCTTGCCTTCCTCTGTCGAATAGCACTTTGCTCTGCCGCACTTACCCCGCGGAGGGTGTCCTTGGCGACGGAGCTGGTCGAGGTGCAGGTTGCACCAGGGGCTCGTCGCCGAGTGCAGACCTGGCGGAGATCAGGGAGAGGGCGTCGTCATCGTCGTCCTCGTGCGGCTCGGTGCTGGCCAGGAAGATGTCCAGGCTGGGCCGGCGGTCCTGCCACGCCCTCCGCAGGCGTTCGGCGAGCTGCTGCCGCGACATGGACATGGCCCCGCACCGCGAGGGCAGCACGGACGCCGAGGCGGGCGGCGGGCGGGGCGGCGGCGGCTGCACCGAGGGGCAGCGCTTGGCCACCAGCTCGCTGGGGGCGGGGGACCCGGCGGCGGGGGACGGCGTCGGGGACGCGGCCCAAGCCAGCCGCACAGGCCGCGGCCGCATGGGGCTCGCACTCGACCTGGGGAGGAGGAAGAGGAGGAGGAGGATGTGGAGGAGCAGCGGAGAGCCGTCCACGTACCGCAGCACGGCGACTTACCTGCGCGGTTGATGTCCTCCGGAGGCGGGCCGAGAGGTGTTCCTAACTCCTTGTCTCCCGCCTTGCGCGGGCCGCGGTGAGCTCCTTCCCCAGAGGTCCTTCATGTCCTTGAGGTCCTTGAGGTCCTTAAGGTCCTCGGAGGCCTGTCTGGCCAGGGGGCGGCGCTGCGAGGGGGGCGTTTGCAGCGACATCTGGCGGACCAGTCCGCCCCCCGTGGGGCCGCCCCCGCCGCGCGCGGTCATCTCGCGGGCTGGACCTGTTGGCAGCGCCCGGCCCGGTCGTAAAGTCCCTCCTAAAGTCCGCTCAGGGCCGCGTTCCGCAATCCACGTGTCCGCCAGAGGGGCGCGCGTGACACTGCTGCAGGCGTGCCATCACGAGGGTGCGGTATAGGAAAGGGTAGGGTTAAGAACATCGCGGCGGCAGGTCAACACAACACAACACGCACCCCGCTGACAGCGCGCCCGCCCTGCCGCCTGATGTGACCTTGGGGGAGCGCCCCAGCGCCCCCCGGCGCGGCGGCGTCCCGTACAGGGGAGGGAGGATGTCCCCGCCGCGCCCCCGCCCCGCCGAGCAAAGAGGCA